AGATTCAGGGAAAAGCATCGGCCTTGTTTGATTGCACTGAGCTCAGCGGGCGTGTGAACGCAGTCTGCTTTCATTGACCACCTTGCAACTACATGTAAAAGCACACAGCCGTATTTGCATTCTAAGCACCCTAATAATCAGAGGGTAGTCACATCAAAGGGTTGCCAACCCCTTGATCCACTTTTGTGCTCATAGGGAAAATCCTGCAGCTACCAATAAAAACAAATACTTCTGCATATGATTATTCACGTTTTGGTTAATCTAGAGCAGTTCGGTTGACAATAAGAGTATGTGTCTAAATTCGAAATTAATAGGATTTCTGTGTATGCCTCAACTGATCTGAGGGAATATTCGAGAGACATAAATTATGAATCCTATGCACACATAACCGTGGTAATGAAGCCGAAACAACAACTAGATATGGTACATATTTAAAGAGGCTACATCCTTTGTGGACATGTCATCTGGACATTAAAGATTCAGATCCTGTGGTAGCCCAGCATTAAACAGGACTCCAGGGCAAATTGGTTGGAGTCCAGGGTGTTATCGGGTCAGCATTACGGAGGTGATGATGTTTGCAAGAAACCAGAGCTGTCTCAGCGAGTCCAACAAAATATCACAAATAACGTGTGCTTCACAGAGTGCATAAACCATCACTGAACAATATAGAATATCTAATATCCTGAATTCTCGACGCAGTTTATACAGAATCTTAATGATTTTCAGTTGCACAAAGTGAGCACATGCAAGAGGATAATTTATTCCTTCCAGCTTTATAGTAGCCTTTTTTGATCCAGCGGAGCAAAAAACCTGGCTTGGTTTCACTCACCAAGTCTTGTCTTTGGTTCCAAAAGCCCACAAAAAATAAGAAGCAGTGAACAAGATCAGCAAAAACAGATGCTCTTTTACCCAAACTGGTAACCTATGTGGATATAGTCCATGTGCTCTTTAGTCCATGCTGCCATATTTTCATTTTTCTTTCTTTTTTTTTGTTACCAGGGTGTTGATATAGATTTGGATAATATTCAGACAGGTTGTTTAATCCTGTAGTACATCATAATTAACATTGTGTTTCTAACTGCTCCAGTCTGTTAGAGACCGATAGGCTGATAAAGAAATATTATAGTGCACACCTAAAGGGGTCCACTCAGACATCTGCTTGGAGACGACTGGAAGCATCATGATCCCATTCTGTTCGTTACATATCTGAAGTTTGGTCAGCTAGAACCTTGCATGCACAAAACTGATGCCGTCCAGGTGCTGCCTCTGGTGAATACTCCAAGCGCTTCTATATGTGTTAACCATGCTTATTTTGAATGTAATCCTTCATAGAAAGTTGTTTTTTTTATATCTTAACAACATTTGGGTCATTGGCAGTGACCGTCTGTGGATATAAGTCGTTTTAAAAAGTTAAGAAAGACTGAATATATTTGTCCCCTAAGTTTTGCTCTTGTTTAGCCATAAAGTAGACTTTTTTTTCTTTTTTACTGACACCAGTGGTACATTTTCATATTTGGCTCAGACATTCATGAGATGCATCTTATCAAATATCTTAATGCATTAATGAAAACACGGCTGTGGTAAAAACATGCATGTTAAGTATTAGCATCACAGAGACCGACTGGAATATTTTTTTGCTGGTATTATTTCTGTAATTCTTCTTTTTCCAAGAAAGATTATGGCAAACTCTGTGACCTAAACATATTGGAAGGTAATGAGAACTGTAAATGTAATATCTGAAAATAGTAACCAGTCAATTAGCACTGGCTTATGCAATCATAATGCAAATATTATACAGTGGATTTTCTCAAGAGGTTTAAATATTCTATATCCCTGTGATAAGAAACATGCTTATGGGAGTGTAAATAGAACAAAAAGTCTGCAACTCCAGATCATTTGCCATAATTTGTTTGCTCAATTAGCTTTTTGTCATTCTCTTCTCCGGCTCTGCGGTTCGCTGCTAATGACTTGTCCTCCAAACAGCAGAGCAGCACCATTTGCTAAATCGAAATGAACCGCATTTTGTCTGAGGTGACCCCAAAGAACATGAAGATTTTAGGTCTAAGAACATCAGGCTTTCTGGAAAGAATAATGGACAGAAATAAAAGGGTAACCATCACCTGGATACACAGTATGAGCAAACAGATGAAAAAGTGTCATTATAACTGCAGAGGAGGATGAGGACCAAATGGAAGACTTCCCAAAGAGGGGGCGAGCAGAGACAGTAATGAATAGGCTTTTTAATTACATAAACAAAAGACAGTGTCAAGGCATGCAAAAAGCAAACAAACAGACCAAAAAAAAAACACAAAGCACAAAAGCTTTTGGACTTTGGCACAGAATTTATTTCTACGGGGTTTTGTAGCTGGATTATGTAAAATGTAATTGACAGATTTAAAAACAAAAGTAACCCGGGGTGAGGTATGACCCATCTTAGAAGAGATTAATTTGAATCTATCCCTTTTTTTTTACTGAGTCTTGGCTGAAATACTAAGTCAGTGACATTCCAATAAGCTGAGTAAAGTAAGTTGAGTTTACACTGCTGTGGAAATTGAGCCATTGGAGTGTTAAAACAACAAAGTATTATTTAAATTATTGAGATTTTTTTTTTTTTATCTTGCTCGACCGACTAATATACATTCACAGTTGTGTTTTGCATTTTGTGTGCCTGGCCATGTTGTTTTTATCGGTCTGATTGCATGTTGACCTATCCATCCACCCACCTCTTCCTTGAACTGTCTATCTCTTTCTATCGCGGTAAACGAATCTCGACGAGGACATCACTGCTGTGTATTCCACGGCCAAAACCAAACACACAACAGACGGGCTCACAAACGAATGTTGACTTAAGAATTCACATTTCTGTCTGAATGAAGGTGCAGAATTGTGTTGACCTTCGCTGTGACCTGTTGTTGTGTAACAACTGTAGGTCTGGGCATCACTTCTCGCGAAATGACACTTTCTAAAGAGAGCGTGCACGTCTCTGTCATTGTGCTTGAGTAAAATAAATGTGTTGGCGTGCATCAGTTGAATGTGACACTGCGAAAGGGCTCAATGGCTGGAACAGAACAGGAGTTGTATTTGCTGTTTATGGGGCTGTACTGAACACAGATGTGGACCATTCCTGATCTGATGTGGACCTCACAAGTTTAGCTGCTGAATTTGGAGACAATTAAGCCAACTGCAACCTTACCGATTCACCCCTTGAGCATTTAGATTACATATTACATTATACATATATTATACCGGGTGTAAACTGAGAATGAGATCTCAATCACCGCGTTTTTCAGATATATTCAATCAAAGCCTGCTCAAGGAAACTTAATGGATATTTCTTCAAAAGTTTTTCCGCACCAATATATCAGCTTCAAGGCCAGTCATCCCAACATTCTGATAAAACTCATATATTCAGAATATCTTTAGAATTCAGTGTCCTAAAAATATACAATTATCTTTAGTTATTCAAAATACCATTTGCGCAAAACTTTCTTTTACTGACACACAACTTTATTTAAAAAAGACTACTGTTATTTATTATGCTCCTTGCATAAACTTTTTTAATCAATAATTACTATTACTAATTTCACTTTATTATAGAAAGAAGCAAGTCCAAATAGAAAATAGATACATGGATGATAAATAAGACCAGTCACTGATTAATGATTCCACATCTTAACCTAATGACTTCCTGCAGAGGCAGGGTGATGTTATGGGTGGAGTCAGATAATAAATAAATAAACATACACACACATGCATACTGTATATATAGAGATATTCACATAGTGTTTTGATGACTTGTTTGGGGTGGCATTGGCTCACACACTTTGTTTAACGGTGTAAACGTCCAGATGGTGGTTCAATACACATGGCTGGTAATGACTTCTTCTTTCCTACTTACCGAACTCTAATGAGTCTCTGAAAGCCAAAGTCAGGGTCTGTGTCCCAAACATATGGCGAATGAATTGTGGTATCTTTCGCACTACAGGCAGCAGTAGCTCTGGACACGTGTCTTCTTGAGTTTGTGAGCTTTTTAAGTGAAATATTTTAAGTGAAATTACCATAAGGACACAGCATAAGCATTGGAAAAGATTGGACACATTTTGGTTTTGTACCTCCCAGAAATAATGCCCATATTTTATGCTATGTACTATTCAAGGAGGTATTCACATAAAGCTTTTTGATGAATTTCTACACATAATTTTTCAGGTACTCAGTCTGTAAAGCTGTAAAGACTAAACCCATATAGAGATAGTTACATAATTGCAATAAACCTACTTGTTTTGAATTAAAAAGAATTATACTGTAGGCTAATCTGTGTTCTCATTCTTATTCATAATTAGCCACCTTGAAATTAGTGTTGGCTACCTCTAACATATTCATATTATATAATTGCTTCTTCCACTAATGAGAGAGACCTGGAAACAACGGCTGATGCAAACAACAGGCCTCAGGACACAGCATGGGCCCTCTAAGGTTTTTCTGGGGTCAGTAGGATTAAAAGAAACTTTTTTCAACACAAATAAGCTTAATTTTTTACACAAATGTGCACACACAGAGCAACTTTTAAGTTCATGACAGTTTCTATCAAATGAACCAAGGATTGGTCAATTGTTTCAATAAGTAAAGAGGTTTGGAGTTAGATTCCCCAGCACGCTCCGGAGTGAGGGACATGTGCGTGCGTGCCTCCTGGTGGAGTGGATACGTCAGCACGGGGGGAGGCGCCGGGGGGGGCTGGGTTAGAAAGGGTAGCTGTCAAACAGGAGAGCGGAGCGCACTGAAAGAAGAGGATGAAGAACCGGAGTGCGCCGACGATGAAGATTTCACCAGAAGTCACTAAGATTTTTTCTTTTTTTTAACCCCTCGCGGGGACTGTGAGGCTTCCTCGTCGTTCACTTGTCCAAATCCAGCTAGATCACTCAAAGAATCATCTCCCAGGTTTTATTTTTAAAAACACATGCGCGGCCAGACGTCGCACCCCCGGCGCGCAGAACCAAACCTGGATGCGCGTAAAGTGTGGTCTTCAGCACCTGAGCGGAGGACAGCTCCTGTCCCGCAACTCCGCCGTGGCTCTCAACGCCCGCACTTCTGATCTGAAGCTCTGCTCCAGCCCGCCGCAAGTCAGGAAGAAGCGCAAAGACCCGCCGACGGAGAGATCCGCGACACTGCTCAATATGTACCAGGGGCATTTACAGGTAAAGTCCAGCTCCGTTTGTTTTTCTTTTGGCACCCGGCGAGACAAAAGAAATGGGGGAGCAGGACGCACTACTTTGTGCAACCTAGTTTTGTCAAGGGGATTTTTTTTTAATTGTTTTTTTTTTAACATCTGGTAATCAAGAGCCAAGAGTGCTTTTTCAGACTTCTGCCCCCATGCTTCTCTGGAGGTTTTCTGACAGCCAAACACACAACGTAGGCAGTTGTTGTTTCAGCTTCAACCAGCTGCACAATGCACGTCCGGCACTTAGTCAGCTGGCTCCAGTGCTTCCAGTATCCACTGGAAGGCGAGATACTGAGAGCAACTATTGCGTGCCCACGTGCAGGTTCATCCCAAAGCTGAAGTCAGATCCAGGTCAGACTTAGTAGCGCTGCACATCATTGTTTTCTTGAAGCTTTGGCTTGAGAAACGCTGTCTTGACGTCACGCCATCTGACGTCAATTATCATACAGCAAGTTGCAGCTAAAGACCAGACTCAGGTTTTTATTAAATATGTGTAAGGAGACGGCAAAACACATGGCAAAATAACCATTAATGAAAAGCCCTGTCATTGCCTTGGCTTTTGCATTAGTTGAAATCAGGAGGTTACAACAGAGCTCCTAAAACTGCATGTTTGATCTGATATAATCACACACTGAGGCGCCAATCATGCCAAACAATAATCCCTCCTGAGTGGTTAATTAAAGCCTCTTTTCGACACCATGATGCATGAATTGAAATGTATACTGTTGGTTGATTCTCCAGTTCTCAGACATGCGGTTACGTAATATAAGACTGCTCCTGAGTCAGTCCTCTGGAGCATTGAAGGCTAAAATTGAATATTTCATGATTTATTACTCAAGCAGCAGTATTCGTTGAAAATGCATGAAGAGGAGGACAAAAGTTCTTGTCTAGGGTACCACAAGGGTGTTTGTTAACGGTTATTGCAGAGCCACATGCAGCATATTCACCTTAATATATTTCCCATGCTCATCTATGTTTCAGTTACTGCACACTGAGTGTTTTTCATCACATGCATGCGCGTCATGTCACTCTGTTACAGTGTTAAGATCATATCACAAACAAGAGAGAGCTCATTCTCTCTCATTATGTCGGGCTAATTAGGCAGAGCAGATGCTCTATCTGTCAATGATTAGAGCTCATTCTTTCAGTTCACTGTTGACAACGTTTCCCTCACTTTTGTCAAAACGTGTTCTCTGGTGTGATATCTGAGCCGTAACTCTGAGTTTCTGATGTCCCGTTGAATGTCTCTTTGTCAAACATAGACCCAGCGAGTCGTGTGTTGTGTGGGGAGTGGGTGGGGATGGTTGTTTCGTCGTAAGTTAAAATAAAAGGGCTTGATTCACAGAGCCAATTGAAAGTGCAGTACAGACAGTAAATGGATGAACGTACATATTCTATGACGTACATAAAGTAAATAATTTTATGAGTGTCTGTTTATGGTTCCTGACGTGACCTCCGCATGAGAGCTCAGGGCATAAATAATTTAGTTGTAGGTCTCCGTAGATAAGAATTTTAAATGATGCTCATACACAGACTTCTCCATTTAAAACGTCAGTTACTTGCTCTGAGCTCAAAGTTTCCCCCTCCAAAGTTCCTTCGAAAGTTGGCTTTTATTACGCGATTGTCCATCAAGAAGAGTTATCAGCTTATGAACATTGCAGCTCAGGAAGCAGCGAGCTGGGGAAACAAGATAACGGCGTCTGGGATCCATTATGATATTTCTTATTTGATATATCTTTCCTTCCATTGACAAATGGATTTATATATTCAGCTTAAGCCATGGACAGTAAGGTTTCTCCATGCACACACTCACATGTTATGCAGAAGCCCCACATGCACACAATGATGCAGTATGGGATGGATCAAATATCTTGGCATGAGCAGGGTCTCATGAATGATGCCAAACATTATTCTCAAGGTTGGCTGGTGTGGATTCGAGTGCTCGGGAAATGGCAGAGCATGCTGTGACCTGCCTGGCAGAAACAAAATGCTGGGAGCGGGTCCTCAGTTTTTTTTGGGAGTCATTTTCTTCCTCTCTTCAGTACATCGGCCTCCTGTTGTTGTGACCAGTTTGTGTTATGCACACACTTAAACGCGTGTGTTTCGCGCGAGGACGGCCACTTACTGTATCCAGTGTGGGAAAAGATTGATGCTTTTAAAGAGAAGCTGTTCAGTGGTGTAGATGTCAGCCTCATTTCTCTTTCTGCGAGGGTGCAACTGGAGATGCTGTGAGGTGAGCTGATTCAGCACTGCTGCTCATCTTTATCAAATAGAGGAGTGCAAGACATATCGTCTGGTGCTGTTTCAGTAACGGCACTATATTTTACACTTTGATATACTACCTTTAGGAAAGACAAAGACACTGTGTCATTTAATTCTAATTTAGATTGGATAATTATATTGTAATTGGAAACACGAAACAGCTGTTTGTTTGCTGTTTTATGTTCATCTCAGTTAATCTAATCTCAGAAGTGCTTGTTTTTTTACACCGAAAAGACGTCCTGCTCTTATGTAAGTGAGGTTTTTAGGCCTTAAGATATTTGCTCTGTTCATTTAATTACCATATTTGAAGTCCATCGGGGTACAATCTTGGATGAATGCAAACATTCATTAAAAGTTGTTCAGGTCTCGAAAGATCTTTGTTACTGGTATTACATTTATTTTTTTCCTTCTTTTTTTTAAATCAATCATTTCTTGGGTGAACATTGTTCGGAGGCCTTCCACTTTCTAGTGACACAGCTTCCTTTTCCTCCCCTATGGTCTGTTTAGGTGGTACAAATTTGAAGTATTGTGGTACCACCTTTGGGGTTTTTAAGTATTAATGTTTAATTAGTTTAATGTTTGTACATAATGTCATTATGACATAAACAGATGTTCATCAATTGAACTAAGAACTTTTTTTTCAAAATTAGCTTCCTAATTTCCTAACTTCCTAATTTAACTACATTTAACTACAGTCATCCCTACAATAGTAGGGATGATAATGTTAATGAGAAAAAATATTCCTTATTATTCCTTATTATAGCAACAGTAGACTATAGATTCAGAAAAACTTTAGTGGGGTTATATACATCAGCTGAGGGTGAGAAAGCCTCACATAACTCAAACATGCTCCTGACACCCCAGTTGTAGAACATGTGCTCATCAATCAAAGTCAAACAGGTCATCATTTGTTAGGCCTAAATTCATCCGAAACCGGCTGACTTATTATGCTGATTGAAAGTTGTCTCTGACAGCCGTGGTGGTCATCTTAAGGCGTGACAAAGGACTCCTGGAAGCTTTCTCCTAAAGTCTCCTTGATTTAATGAAGCATGGTCTTGATTAAGAGCATTTTAATAGGCCTGACTATTTCAGGAGCTGGGATAATGAGTTAAATCAGGTGGTATCCGGCTGGAACCAAAGCTCCGCAGACACCAGTGCGTTCTTGTTGAACATGTGAGGCTGGGTAAGAAACTAAGAGTCCACAAAGCTGAGTCACTGAATGTGCAGGCCTAATTTTAGCAAACTGTGAGAAATGAGCAAGTCTTAACATGTTTGGCACATAATTTATCCCTCTATTTTCCAGTAAGTGGATATAAGACTGTTGACATCATCACATCCTCACTGTTGGATGTTATTCAGCTTGTTTTAGTCTGTCAACAGTCTTCATAATGTTTGGACTAAACATAACAACAAAAAAAAAACACTTTCTCATTTTGGGAGGAAAGTATTTATCTATGATTCAGACCCAATATTTTTACTCTCTATGTATCCTACATTATTTTCATCACTGTCCGTGTTTTTTAATGCTGAAATATTTTGTTGATTTTAACAGGGTTTACATGCAGAGTGCAAAGTTTAGATTTTTCAGAGACATTTTTTTGTTTCGATTTGAACCAAAATCAGTTTAAAGAAAGTTTACTGATCATGTCAGATGTAGGACCTTAGGGATTTGCTCTGCAGCTTTTTGTAAAAGTTGGTTGGCCTTACTGAGGACAGAAACTACCCATAGCACTTTTCTGGGTAGTGGGGGCTCTACAAAGGCCCTGTTCAGCTTGGTGACCTCATAAAGCAGAGAAAGGAAAGACAAAAAGGGATTCATGCATTCATCAGCAGCTGTTATCTTGTAAAAGGGTTTTCATTTGCTCACACAGCATGGCAATTTGGTCAAATTTGATCCATTGCCATCTGTCCTCTGTGCTCTTAAAACACCTATAAATGCAGCAAAATTATTGAGAAGAGGTGAAAATTCAGGTCAAAAGTGGGTGTGAATGATAAGAACAGATGAGGATGCGATCAAAGGAAGAAAAGTCTCCTTGTGGCATTCAATTTGATATCTATTCAATTCAGTTCAGTTCAGTTTTATTCATTTCGCTCCATCACAGTGATGAAATCCAACTTATGCTTATTAGAATCCAATTGATTTAAATTCTAATCATGTGAGTATGGATATTCAAAAATAAAGACTCAAATTAACTCCTCAAATTTATAATTCACTTTCATAATTACCTCTTGTTTGACTGAAGTGGTTCCAGAGGTTCCTGACTCTTATGTTCATTAGAGTTATAGTTTACCACTAGTAGCAAAATTAATTATTTAACTCTGCTGTTTCAGCATTTTGTCCTTAATATCTTGCTTTAATAGGGACACTATAAAAAGCTGTTATGGACTGAAATTATCAAAAGATTCCCATTGTTCCCACTTCCCTGTATGAACGGTCAGAAATGACAGAAACTTATAAAGAGCAGTTTTCTTTAGTCACAGACAGTTTGAAAAATCTTTGAAGAAGATCTGAAAAAAATTATTTTGAAATTAGATTGGGAAGCAGAGAAAGAGCTCGTACTCTTTTTGGAGAGTGGCTGGAAATAGATCACATTTGCATTAGAAATCCCTGTCCGGATAGTCTCAGTTCAAGGAATGGCTAATTTACGGCACAGAACCATCATGCTCCAAGGACTCTGTTGGAGGACCTGAGCTTTAAAGGCGGATGAGAGCAGA